CATCGTGTGCACCCCCCAAGGGAGGTATGGGGGGGCATGTGCCCCCCAGATTTGTGCATGGGGTGGATATAGGCTGCCTACTGCGGGCTCAAAGCTGTCTGCCCTGTTGCCTTTTGCTCCAGGAGCCGCACGCTGGCCATGCACTAGTAGTGGGGCACTGAGTTGTGCTTCCTGCCACTGGGCAGGCCGGGGACGCAGTGCAGCCAGTGCATGGCTCCCAGGGCAAAAGGCAGCAGGGCAGCCCACATCAACTCTTGCCCCACTTGACTCTGCACCTAAAAACATCCCTGCACTTCAAAATGCTGGCAGTGGCGCTTGAACTAACGCTGATTTGATGAGCTTTAGTGCAAGCACCGCCGCTGCCATTTTTAAGTGCTGGGACGCTGATCTCCTGGACGAGCCACCTGCGGCTCCATCCTGCTCCCTGCCCCAGCATCTCATTCACTGCCCTGGCTGCGCAGCGCCCTAGCCACAGCCCCACTCCCTGACCATGGGGGCCTCAACCTGTCCCCCCCCGCCCCTTTCCCCCCACAAACTTACTTGCAGGGTGCTGTGTTGCACGCTTGCCGGGCTGTGCTCCTGTAAATCAGTTATCAGATCAGTATTGGCCAATATGCCTGGTGAATAATCGGTTACTGATATCATCCAAGGAAACCTCTATCGGTGCACCCCTACTTTCCACATGTCCATCTTAAGCCTCTCCACAAAAATAAGTCAGCACATATGGAGGCTGCCCATACCACTTGTGGCACACACGTCATATTTTGCCTGCCTCTGTGTCAGTTCATTAAGTAGCACATATGCCACTGTAACCTGTTAGATAAAATCCAGGTACAAAAATCTTAGCTTAAGAAATTCAATTTTTCACTAAAGTGAGAGGAAACAATGAAAATAATCTTTTCTATATGATGGCTAAGAAACTTCAAAACACTCAAAACCAAGGTTCATCTGTAGAAAGAAGAAATGTAGGGCTTGTCAGTAGGCAGGTACATTACTATTATTCAAAAACATGTTTTGCTAGCATCTCTTTGCGTGTCAGTGTTAAACAACTACCAAAAAGATGGGAAAATACTGGCGATCTCCTCATTACTAAATTTTTTACCTTGTTCTGATGCAAAGCTACAGAACTTTGGCATCCAGTTACATAAAACTAGTTCCCTATTTCTGTAGCTGCAACAAGCAAAACTGTTTTCAGTATTAGAAAGATCTCAAAACATTTGGCTTGTAGGAATTTTGTTTTAAACCTGGTACAATACACTTAAAGGTTGTTTAAAATGGCTTATCTACCTTGCTGCTTTTAAGCATTGCAATTCTGAAGGATAGCACATTTCAGAGACAAGATTTGAAAGATAGCAGTTTCCTATACAAAACATACACTTATCTTAATAATTGTACCATTTATATAATTTATAGCTTCTATAGCACTTGTTTCACAAAAAAGACATAAATTATTTCTGTAGGACAATGACAATACTACTTTCCAGCTATTTAAACATTCGATTTTAATGCAGTTTCAATAAATCATTTTTTTACATAAGCAACTGGATGGGGCTAGAACCCTAACAGTTATTTCACATCAGAGAACATGCCATTATAAAAAATTCCCATTGGACATAATAAAGTACAGGTTTGGTCCCATGGGATTCCTAGACTTATACTGTACTGGTGCATTACAGAAAAACAACATAAATAGCTTTGAATTATAGCTATTCCAGCCCTATCCAACTGCTATTCTCACAACTTGCATTGAAAAATAATATTACCATGTGTTGAGTCTTCTTTATCGTGGTGTTTTATTCAACTCTTTAAATCCTCAAAACCAAAAACTCATTAGATTATATAGCACAGGGGTGGGCAAACTACAGCCTGTGGTCTGGCCTGCAGTGGGTACTTCAGTCCTGCCTGGCCCAGGCACTGGAAACTGGGGCAGGTCCTGCTGCCTCCTGGGCATACAGCAGGGCTAGGGCAGCTCCACAGCTGGACTGCCTTTCTAGGCAGCTCAGGTAACGGAGGTTCCTTCCAGCTGCGCTGCACAGCCCTGCAACTGCTCCAGGCTCACCCACCCAGTCTCAGCAGCAGTAGCACAGAAGTACTGCTCAGTGTCAGGTAAAAGTGGCCTCTCCCCCTCGATACTGCTGGCAGTTCCTGGTGTAGCCGCTTGGAGCCTGCTCTAGTGTATGCCATGTCACCATTGTGTCTGAGCTGCCTGGTGGGGCAGTGCAGAGCAGATGCAGGGCAGCCCAGTGCGGGCTCTGGGAGGCTACACCAGGAAGCGCCGGCAGCAGCAAGGGGGAGAGGCCACTTTTCCCCCTGCACTGAGCAACAGTCTTGTGCTGTCACTGCTGAGCCTAGGCAGTCAAGCCCAGAGCAGGCACAGGGTGTGCGGGGTCAGGGATGTGCACACAGGTCCCCACCGGTACTGCGGGGCTGGGGCTTGAAGCAGCAGCAGCCAGAAGGAGCTGCTGCCACCGGGGCTGCCTAGACAGGCAGTTTCACCGCAGAGCTGCCCCAGTCCTGCTGCGTGCCCAGGGGGCAGCAGGATGTGCCACGGGTGGGTGGTGCTGAGTGGGCCAGGTCCGGGGCTGCGTGCTATTGGCAGTGGCAGATGCAGGGGCTGAACAGCTCAGGGAGGCACGTGTGGGGGGCTCCTATGCATACCCCACCATACATGGAAACCTCACAATCATACCCTCCCCCACACACCCCACAAATACCGTACCTACCCACACCCTCCCCCAGACACACACCTGTGCACCTCTGGGGGGAGGCCTGTGCATTGCTACACTCACACCCCCCACCACACACACACATGCACCCACACCCCCACCACACACACAACCCCCCACAAACCTCATACCCACCCACACATCCCCACAAACACATCCCCCTCACAAATCCCCCATAGCCACCCACTCACCCACACCTCACATACACACACCTACAACCCCCCACAAACCCCATACCCACCCACCCTTACCTCCCCACAATATACAAGACTATGACTTCATTTTGAAGTATTATGCGATCACCTCTATACACACAGCAAAACACACACAAATCAGGACAAAACTATTTTTTTTAAATAAAATTAAATATGCTATTGTTAATATTTGATTTTTAGTATAGAATATAATGGTTTTTTTCCTGTTCCAAGATGGCAAATCCCCTTCCCAAAAGGAGTGCAGGAAACCCTTATTTGCAGGTTCGGCATTTGCGGTTTCAAATATTCACGAATGCCGAACCCGCATTTTAAATACACTTTATACACTTACAGGAGCTCCTCGGAAGCTCCACACTTGCTGCCACCGGGCTCCTGCCATCACTGCCACGCTCCCGCCATCGCCACCGGAGCCGTGCCCCCCCCCCCCCCCCCCCCAGCCGCCGGGATCACTGCGTTCATGAACACAGTGCCTTATTCAGATTTCGCCATTCGCTGGGGATATGAGAATGTATCCCCCGTGAATGGCGAAGGTCGCCTGCATTTCTAGGGGACAGGGGAAGTACTTCCGGTGGCAAAAGTCAGGGGTCAGGACTTCTGGTCCTAAGATGGCAACCAGGGGGTTGGGCACCTGTCAAGGGGTGAGGCTACCCTTGCGGCCCTCGACCGCTCACCAAACCTCATTAAGTGGCCCTCCAGCTGAAATAATTGGCCACCCCTGATATAGCATGATCATATTATTTACTTTTTCTCAAAATATTTTAAATTTTGGGGCCCAGATATTCAAAATATCAAGGCAAGTTATCTTTCACACATCACAAATCTTTAAGAGTAGAGAGACACCAAAAGTAACTTCTAATTCTCAAGCCACTGATTAAGGATATCATACAAATTCTGGTGGAAATTAAAAAATGTATTTATTGAAGAAAGAGACTCTGTCTTCAAGTCATGAGTCTTAAACTTCATTTCAATTCAGATTCAGAACAACAAACATCCTGCTAGCTTGACAGCCTGACAGAAGAACAGCTGCCAAGCCTAAATGAACACTGTAGAGCAGGGGTTGCAACCTGCAGTCCACAGGCCAGATCTGGCCCCATAAAAGTCTTATCTGGCACAGGGCATTGTTGGCACAGAGCTGTGCCATGCTACCCATTCCGTCTTCAGTGCTGCCTCCCTCTTCCCCATGCAAAGACTGTTGCTCCAACATATCTGTACTTCCCTTGCTGTAGAGGGATTTGGAATCCACGGCAAGTGTGATTGCAAGGAGCTGGCTGCTTCAGGGGGCAAAGACTTCTGGCCCACAAGCACTAATGGGTCACAAGCTTTGGCCCACACTGGCAAAAACCTCTTTTGTAGGGGGATTCCTAGAAGTAAGCCAAATGCTGCTACCAGAAAGTAGGAACTCTCTGATTCATAATTTTCAGAATGGGCTAATGACTTGGGGGCCTCCCTTCTTTAGGCTGCCAAATTTAAAATAGACTGAGGGAATCTGATTTTTGCAGGGTGAATGCTCGCTTATCCCAGATGGGTGTTGAAATGTGAGGAAAACTGAAAAATGTGAACAACTAAAATTTAAAAAAATTCTAGCCTATTTTTAAAATGTTGGGCTTTAATAGTGTCCAAAGGATTCAGTTCAGCTACAGGCATTAAGATATTTCCATTAATCCATGTAGAACTTCCTGCACTCTTACTGAGTACATGTATATCTCTTTCTCTGAATAATTCAAGCATCCATCTCAGTAAAATGTTTAAAATCAGATAAGCATGTTTAACCACATATATTATATGAAATACAAAATTATACATCTAATTACAACCAGTCACTTACAAAAACCCATGATTTCTTGTTACCATATCTT